CAATGATCCTCCTGCCTCAACCTCCCAAGTGCTGGGATTATAGGCATGTGCCACCACGCCTGGCCCCCCCAAATATTTTTGATCCTCAGTTGATTTGAGGATACAGCAGGCCAACTGTAGTCCATTATTACATACATGGTATTATGGTAGCATGTTACGTCTTAACAAAATTAAGACTCATCTCACAGAAACAACCTCACATGCCATAATAATCAACTGAAATGACATACCTCCACATCAACTCTAACCAGTCCTTTGCATCATGATTAAGAATAAGATTGAGATTCAAATTCTACTTCTACCCTGTTTTTGTTATGGTCTTTGTGCAAGTTCATCAAATCTCCTTGATTTTATATATAGAATTGACTTGGCCTGATGGTTAGTTAATACATAGAACTCCAAAGATTAGTGTCTGGCAGGTACTTATTAGCAGTGATGTTTAATGTTTTCCCAGGTACCCATAGTTTTTCCAAGTGCATATAAAGCAGATAAAGAGGTAAACTAAACAATAATTTCATAGATTAAATTTGTTTAAAATTATTTAAGAAATTCCAACCCTCTCCCCCAGGAAAGAAACTGTTTACTTTGAGAAATCCCTTTATAATTTAGTCACTCGTAGCTTATAATCATTTCAGTTTATCAGACATGAAGTACATTTATTCTACATACGAGACACTATAGTAATAGTTGAACATGGAGCTGTTCATTTCAGCCTTCATAGGTAACCTCTAGCAAATACATGACTTTAGCCAGAACTTTTTTGTAAATAGAAACAATAAAAATTGTAATACAGAATTTCAAAACAAGATAATAGGAAATTAACAATGGTTACTGTATTGCATATTGTTATCTTCAAAGTGGTTGTTCAGATTAGCCAGAACTTTGCAAAAAATTTCCAACTTTGAAATTGATGTCTTAGAGTTACATTCCTTGGTGGAACTATTTCTTTGTAACAGAATTGTATCTCTTTGGCTTTTTAAAGTTGTTGTTAGTATTTTTTTGGTAGTGCTAGGGAATCAAACCCAGGGCTTTGAGCATATGAGGTAAGGTTTTGCTTTTGTTTTGTTTTCTGAGTAAATTGGAGGAAGTCAATTAGAAATGTTTTTCTTTTTCCCTTTCTTTCTCTCTTTTTTTTAGGATTTCACATTCATTGGTTGCAAAACCTCAAAATGTCATGTGTCTTGTTTGAATCTTTGGGTTCCTAAGGTGAACCTAACATAACTCCTTTGTGCACAGGAGAGAAAATTGCAGTTTTATTCTACGTGACTCAACGTGATCCAGAAGGTGCAGCAGGTAGATCCAAACAGCTGAACAAAGTGTGCTCCTCACCTCGTAAAAGAGGTGGCACATCAGTGAAACAGGGAGAACGTGGACATTTCTGTTGCTTTCAAGAATAGTTCAAGCAAACAACTGAAAAGATAAGCTTTATAGAGCCTAGGTGATTATTTGCCAAGTACTTACACAAACTAATTGTTCTGGAAGTTCAGAAGAGGGTGAGGTGCCATAGATTGAGTCAGAAGCACCATCTACAGCAGAAGCCGAGCCAAGTCCCTGAGGATGGGTAGTGCGCACTTGTCTAGGTGGCCATGTGGGTGGAGAACATTCCAGGGGGATAAAGTAGCATGAGCAGAGGCAGGTGGCATGAAAGCTGACTCTGTTTGGGTCACGGTGAATAAGCCAAGTTGTCTGGAGGGGAAGGAGGTGGTGTTAGGGAATCTGTGGGAGGAATCACCAGTTCTCATTAGCATGACTCTTGGCCAATACCCAGGTTTCTAGGTCTGCCTTTACACCCCATCATCATGTCGGTCAAGATTCTGGATGTTCAGATGTGTGTATCTGTCTGTGTCTCATCTGTGTGTGTACTTCATAACTCTGAGAATTAAGTGTAGTTCTCACCGTGTAGATCAGTCATTTCATGATTTACTTATTTATTTATAAGTTAGAGTGGAGTGTATAAGTTAGAATAGTGAATAATACCAGTCCCAGCAAAGGGTAGCGCTATACGATCTTTTCCAGCTATAAATCCTGATCCAGAGATAAAACAGTCCTCTCTCTGACTCTTTGAATTTGATATCACTTTGACATCTCTCCAGGCTACTTAGTGTTGCTGTGTGAACTCCTGGGCTCCTACTGGTGTGTCCGTTGGATATTTCACTTTGTTGGCCAAACGTGGCCAGAATCCACCACTTCAGATCACATGCTATGAGGCAATGTTAAAGGGTTTTCGTCTCCTGGAGTAGCAGTGGTTTGTGCCATGCTGAGCTCGTATTTGTGATAGAATATAGGTGAAATGGACTGTATTTTGCCTATGGGTGGATGTACATGGGTGACTGAAGCTCCCATGTGTGCATGTGATCACTCCTGCCCTTTCTGTCATTCACCTACTGCTGTCGCTCCCCAGTCTGGAATGTCCTGTCTTGGGCTTTCCACCTGGCTCTTTTGCCAGGCCTGATTCCTTCACTTATAATCTGTAAAATACAGCAAAGCACTTAAGGCTGCAGTTGCTTCAGGGATCTCTTTCTCTCTCTTTTTTTTTTTTTTTTTTTTTTTTTGTTTGTTTTTTGAGGCAGGAGTCTCACCATGTAATTCAGGCTGGCCTTGAACTCACAGTGATCCTTTTGCCTCTGCCTCCCAAGTGCTGGGATTAGAAGGTGTGTGCCACCATACCCGGCCTCAGGGGTCTCTGTTGAAATTTTGTCTCAGCAGTAGCAACCATCGTACATAAACATAGTACATTCCTTTGTGATAATTTTTGTAGACAGAGAGAAAAAGAAGGAATGTTTCAGTTAATTTTTATAAAGCTTTTATGGCTTGCCTATTCGGAATGGTTTTCTCAAGGCTGAGGATATAGTAATTGCTTAGATGC